CGGGGAGGGACATGAGGCAGGGACTGTTTAAGGGGTGCGTTAGGGGAGGGGCGCCTGCATCTCTTTACTTAGGTGTTAGGGGTGAGGGGCAAGGGGCAGGTGTGGCTTTGGGGACTTTGTGTCCATCCACCTACAGCCCTGTGATTTTCGTCATCGGCTGGGGTTATTTTCTGGAGGCAGGCAGCCATAACCTCCCATGCACATGGGGTGGGATTCCAAGAGGGATGCGTGCGTGTCTGGGAGAGGGGAAGCTGCACAGGTGATGGGCTTAGACTTTATTTGAAAACCAATCATGAGCCACTGAAGGTTGGGTGGGGGATGAGCAGAGCGAGGCTTTCTGAGGATGAATTTTGCAGCTATGTTGAGGAAAGACATGGAGGCGAGAAGTAACAAGGAGGACTGGAATCGGGGTAGGAGGGAGGCTGGCCAGAAAGATCACTGTGTAAACGCCATCGATGTCAGCACCCCAAGAAACCTCTCAGCAGGGCTTGGCAGCCAGTTTGGTGGTGCTCGTGATGGAGTTGGGGAAAATCTTGATTTGAGAGGCACCCGCATGGAAGCTGGGCAGGTCCCCTCCCAGCGGGCAATGGGCCTGCTGGTTTCGGGGGTGAGGGTTACTCCAGAGGCCCTGGCACCTCACTTCACTCACCACTGTCTCTTTTAAAAGGGGAGCTCCTTCCCTGTCCTCTGCCCAGGCTCCACTGCCCTATGAGTTGGGCCTTCAGTGGCCCCCTCTACCTCAGTTACCAGGACACAGGAGGAATATTCCAGGCCACAGTCAGGACCAGCCACGGGGCACTTGCAAATTGCTAGCTGTAAGTAGTATTTAAAGTCTCTGTGTGAATGACAGGTGGATATGTAAGTGTCTTGTGACCTGGCTCTCTGGGGACCTACAGACCACTGATATTTGAAGGAGACCCCAGCGTCCTCCAGCCCCTTTGCTCAGTGCGATATGGGAGCCTTAAGCTGTTGTGCAAAGTGTCAGCCGCTTGGAGCAGAGGAGACCTGTCTCTGAAGAGGACAGGAATGGAGGGTCCCAGGCATAGAAAGAGAAGTGGGCCGGGGGCTCACTGAGGAGACAGACATTTTCTCGTTGAGAGCTGCAAACCTTTGTAAGTGAGCAGCTGTGTCTAGGCCCAGGGTCGGTCATGGGTCCTTGATTTGGCTCCTAACACAGGCTGCTGTCGCTGCCCTCCACTACGAGAGTGTGTGGGGGTCCCCTGGGTTCGTGTCTGTTTATGCGTCTGTTTATGCTCCCAGGTCATGCACTTGGCCCAGGTGTCCCCAGGCACGGGCCCGGGTTGGGTCCTCAGGCCCGCGGTCAGGGTAAGCTGCCCATGGGTCTGTCCTAACATGAACCAAACCCTCCTGGTGCTGGCCGGTGCCAAGCGAACAGCGAGGCTCCAGAAGGTCCAGCCCGAGGAGTAAGCAGAGCCGGGCCTGTTCTGCCTCGGGCTGCTGCGGGCTCTCAGCGTAACCACATTCTTTCTTCCTTCTCACAGGCAAGCGGCCTCTCTTCTCCCACCAGGCTAATGACAAACTTTGGAGTTCCGAGCCCCGTGCGTCTGTGGAGTGTGATCAGAGTTTGCACACCCATAACCACACCCACATCCACCCCACTCTCTGTGCTCTGAGTCTGACAGGTGGGAGGATGGGCGTGGAGATCTGAGTGTGGCTGTGAGGGCACCGTGAGGGCCGAGGGGCAGACTGGGCATGGGACCATGGTGGGGAACAGCTGGCAGCCTGGTCCGAGCCCTCAAGGACCATCAGGGCAGCCTCGCCCTCCTGGGACTCAGCCCTGTTCTCTGAGCCCAGCAGCTCCCAGCAGTGGGAGAGCCCGGGGCACTGGTGCTTCACGTGGGGTGCCCAGGCCTTGACATACACCCTGGCCAGGCTCTCATTTCTGCTTCCCTCTGAAGCCCCGTCCATCACGGGCCCTTGCCTTCCTTGCTGTGACCCCACGAGCAAGCCCAGATGCTGGGGTTCCCTGTTTCTCTTCCCACCAGCGTGACTCCGCAGAGTCCCAGCCCCAGGTGGAGCCTCGCAGGCCTGTGCTCTGCTTGGTCTCAGGGGCTGGCCTCTGAAACACCCGTGCTGTCCAAGCAATGACGTTTGCTCCTCCATCTCCAGACACTAGGGTTCTGCAGACCTCCAAGGAGGGCCCTGCAGCTCCTGCCAGGTCCAAGGGAGGAGCCAAACCCTCTCTGAAGGCCCTCCCAGGATTCCAGGTCGCTGAGAGGGCGACAGGCAGGCGTGGTGGAAGCCGAGAGAAAGGCTGGGGGGAGCTGTGTGTTGGGAATACTTCTCTAATCTGAGCTTCCCTGCTGTGCACTGTCTGGGGAGAAACCCGTGCTAAAAACTGAACTTTAACCTTTGACCTCCAGGTGCCCTAGGACCACGTGACAATGCTAAGTTTGGACTGTGCTTAAAATTTTAAGCCATTCCTTTGCCTCTCCGGATTCTTTTGTCCTGGAAGGTGGACCTGAGCAATCCATATCACGATATTCCCTTGCTGATTAAGAAGTACAAATTACCAGTTATAAAAACAGTCACGGAACAACAACCACAACAACAACAAAAAAAAAACAGTCACCGGAATATAAAGCACACCATAAGGAATTAGCCAATAATATCGTGACAACTGTGTGGTGTCAGATGGGCACTAGACTTATTGGGGGTGATCATTTGGTAAGTTATATAAATGTCTAATCACTATGCTGTTTCCCTGAAGCCAATAGCATGTCATATGTCAACTGTAACTGAAGAATAAAAAAAAATTATTAAGAAAAATATGAATGTACCTCGCAGCCTGGCATATCGCTATAAAGCAAAAATTGGTAAGAATGAAAAAAGGAACTGAAAAATTCACACACACACACGCACAAGGATATTTCCTTGCTTTCTAGCTTCTAGCTGTGTTCAGCCCGTGGGGCGCCCCAGAAGGAGATGGGGGAGCAGGAGGAGAGCAGCGTGGGAGGGAGGCTGGCTGCCCTGGCTCCCCCTCCCCGGAGAGTCGCCAGGTACTGCTGTGTTCCTCCACCGCAGGTCACAGCTCCTGCCAGCCAGGCCTCTCCACACAGCCCTCTCTGTCTCTGGGGCTGGAGATCATTCCCTCCTCTCACCCCCGTAAGCCGGGTGTGGGATGGAGGCCCTGCCGCTACCCAAGGCCACTGCGTCACCCCTCCTGGTTTCCCAACGCCCTGCTTACACCTGGGTAAACGGTCTTTATTAAACCTTCTTGAATGATGCAATGCGAGTGTCCACCCATTTCCTGCCGGGGCCTTGGCAGAGGCGTACGAGGTCCCCAGAGGCTGGGAGTGCTTACTGTGAATCCGATGCCCACGGTGGCCGAGAAGGAGCCTGGGATGAACTTTCCCTGGTCGAACTGGACCAGCAGAGACGTCTTCCCCACGCCACTGTCACCCACCAGGATGGTCTGAAAGGGAGCAACAGACAGGCGTGAGGGCCAGCAGTGTGAATCAGGCATCTGGGATGTCGTCGTGGTTGAGGGAGTGGGTTCCTTCTAAACACACATACGCGTGTATGCACACGCCCAGACACACACGTCAAACTCCTGCTTTCCTACTGAAGTCAGTGAAGGAGGCACGCAAGCATAGACGAAACCTTGTTCCATCCTACATCGGTAAACGTCTGGGGTGACGGTGAGAATGCGCCTCTCAGACTCCCGGCCACAGCAGCATAACGGACCGAGGGCCCCGTGCAGCGCTCTGCAGGCCATCACCCGTGTGTTCGCGCCACGGCCAAGCTTCGCACAGGCAATGCGCAGCCCAAGGCGGAGCCTGGCGGCGACACCGAAGCAGGCCTGTTTCTGGGAGACACGGGGCATCCCTAACAGCCGATTTCAGCGGCAGGACCTCCTCATGGCTCTTATAGAACCTTCCAGAGACCGTTTGATGGTCCCAGACACTTCCACACGGGCACTTCCTGGCCTCCGTCCTTCACGTGAGTGCAGACCTGCATCACGGCCTGACAATTCTCCCCACCTCTCCTGCTTCCTACCTCCTTTCTCGCATAGGTGTTTCCCCTAATAAAATTCCTGCACGCTGAATTCCCTTTTGACATCTGCTTCTTGGAAGATCTGGACTAACCCAATGGGTCTTCTGCATGGAAAAGTCTAAAAAAAATAACCTATAGCATAAAAATAAATAAACAGGATGTGTGGCTATTTGCCTTAGGAAGAGTTTGCACTTGGCCCTGGAACAAGGTATTGGAGAGGACACCATTTCAAAGAAAAGCAGAGGTTGGGAAAAGAGGGGGCGGCCACTTCCTTCTGGGGGGAAGGAGGGCGTGAAGTAACGTGGCAGTGCCACACACACATCATACGTGCGCCCACCACTGGTACCCGGCCGTCTCTCAGTGAGTGAGTGAATGAATGAATGGGTGGAGAAAGGCCTTAGTGTCAACGTGGACAATAGCCACTTTTCAAAGGCAAGCAGGCAAGGTTGTTGCAAAGGCTTAGGAAATGCCAACTTTAGCTAGATTTGCAAAAATAAAAAAAAAAGACATAAAAAATTAAAAATGTAAAAGCATAAAGACTAACGGGTCAGATCCATGGCCACTGTTTGTCTCTGACGGTGACACCGAATCGTGTTAGCAGGGCAAACACGAGGTCGTTCATGATGTCCCCTCGAATGTCCCCTGACTATGGGCTCCCACCCCCTCTTTCCAAAACAAATTCTACCCAGCTTTTATTTCCTCCTGGGTCAAAGAGCTCCCTCTGTTTTGTCAGATGCAGTGGCTTTAATAATTTACGTCTCGAATCCAGCTTCCTCAGCCTTGAAGAAGTGCTTCCCAGAGAGAATATTCCAGAATGCGAGGGCTCCGTCCTTCCAGGTAGGTCCGTCTTGTTCATTTACTAAAGATTCTCATTCTTTTCCCTTTTATCCTTTTCTTTTGCAGGGTGAAGAGTTTCCATCACTTTCTTCTCTCCGCGTACCGTTCCATCTTCTTGGGACCTTTTCTGGTTCAGCGGGGACACGGTCCAGGGTGACGGGGTTCATCGTTTCAGATGATGAAACTGTGTGATGATGACCTCTGGGGCCAGGGGCAGGATGACGATGCTCTCATTGGTCTTTGTAGAAACAAGCCGTCCTGTGGAGATGCTGGTATCAGGGTCTAAGAACTTTTGGCTGGGCCACTATGGAGAGCTCAGAGGACCTCCTTAGACCTGGCCCTCTTCTGTTGATGTCCCTCTGCAGGAAATGAGACGCCCATAGGGCCGAAGGCCCCCTGTCCCTCCTATAGAGTACACTTCTCCCGGAGCTCACCGCTAGTGTAATATTCACTATACAACACTAGTCAAGGGGTGACTGTTTGCAGGGGTGCGGACAGAGCTCAGATCTAAAACCTGGGGTGTCCACATCATTCTCCTCAGGACCTTCGGGTGTGGAGTGTGCAGGAGGCAGAAGAGCAGGGGAGTGGCTGTGGGTGGGAGCCGAGGACCAGGCGATGGCTGTCGCTATTCTGGTGTGGAACTTTCGAGAACCCCACATTCAAACCTGTCTCCCAGATCGGTAGGAAGGTATATAATATGTCAAAGTAGGAACATAGGACACACTTGATTTGATAGTTTATTTTTTAGCTTGACTTAGAGCGTTAAAATATTGGTCTATGGGCCTTTATTTGTACCCCGGCCCCGGTCCTCCAAATGTTGGGACGGGTCTGCCTAAATTCATTACCTTAGACACGTGACGGACTTTCTCTCTCTACCCATTTGCTGCCGGCATTTTTCCTGAAGTTCTTCCAGGTTGATTCCAAATTTCACTCCTTGGCGAAGCTAACGGTCAACTTCAGACCCAGATTTTCTACTGTATCTTCCCTCTTCTGGGACGTTTTTGAAAATGTTACAGAAACCTCTGTGTCCACTTGGCCACCGTTCAGAAAAGTATCTTTGTTCTCTCTTCTCAAGCCTTTTGCTTATGTCTGTTATTTGTGCCACGTGCATTTCCAAAAGGGATTTGAGGCGGCTGAAAACAAAACCCACAAACCCAAGAGGGCAGTTAAAAACTCCGCCTGAGGAGAGCTTCCTCCTCAGAGCGAGGCTGGGGTGTTCCTGCCTTTGAGCCTGACGTTTGAGTCTAGATCTCCTGGCAGTCAGGACAAAATGGGAAACCAGGCGGGGCGTGTCGTTCTTATTTCCTGACAAAGGACGCCTGCGTCCCTTCATCAGTGAGTATTTCCCCCTGGCATGTGAGGCTGAGAAGAATCCGTTATGCGATTCTTCTACAAGGGGCCTTGATTGACAAAACGGGCAATTGTAATTTTGCAGAAGATGCAAAGCTTATTCTACAGCTTTTGTATCGAGCCGTTGCTAAAAGCGGGAACTTCATGTTAAATCATCCTTGAGTGGAGGCCTCTCGATGGCATCTGGCTAACGCTGCCCAAGCCCTTTGCTCTCCTGTGACTCCAGGATTCAAGGGGAACAGTTAGAAAACCTAGATAAATGTGGTGGTTAGCATGGCTCCTCCAGTGGCTCCGAGCAACTTTCTTAACAAGAGAGGAAATTTACGTGCCACAAAGAAAAAGATCGGTCGATCTGACTGCATAGAAATAAAAACGTCTGGTTGACAGAAAATACCAGAAACAAAATCAAATGAGAAACGGCAGAGGCAAAATATTTGCAAGACATATGACAAAGAGTGAATATAGCCAGTTACATAAAAAGCTCTCAAAGGAAAATCTCAACAGAAAAATGAACAAAGGATATGAATAGGTATATTGAGTGTGTGTGTGTGTGTGTGTGTGTGTGTGTGTGTGTGTGTGTGGTTAGTTTTATGTATCGACTTGGCCAAGCTATTGTACCTGGTTATTCAATTAAACACTAATCTAGATGTTGCTGCAAAACGAAAGTTTCTCTGAGGAGCCAGAAAATTCTGCTTCAAGATTGCAGCGTCAGCTCCTGCGTGAGAATGTCTAGCCTGCCGGCTGACTGCAGATTTTGGACTTGGCAGACCCCACAGTGAGCTAAGCTAGTTTCTTGATCTCTCTCTCTCTCTCTCTCTGTCTCTCCCCTCCCACCTTCCTTCTAACTCTTCGAGTGTGTGTGTGTGTGTGTGTGTGTGTGTGTGTATAATCTATCTATCTATCTACCATCTATATCCCACTGCTTTTGTTTCTCTGGAGACCCCTGACTGATACAATATAACATTTAATGGTTTGATACAAGTTTGATCATGGTTGGTATTGGCTGAGACTTTGGAGAGCAGGCTCTCATACATGCTCCATCCGTGAGAGCACCCATGGAGATAACCTTTTTAGAGAGTAACTGTCACTATCTGTCAAGGTTACAAATGCAAATTCCTTTGACTCAGTGATTTTATGGCTTTGCTTGCAAAAGTGCACCAAGATCTGTGTACGAGGGTGCTCGCCGTAGCATTCGTGAGAGCGAATGAATGATTCAGTGATTGGGATTGGCTAAATACACTCGAGAACATCCACACGATGCAAAACTGTGAAACAGCGAAGTGGATCTGTATGTGCTGTTTGGGAAACAGTAAATTATTAAGTACAAGAAGGGGCGCAGAGGCATGCTGTGTGATGACTGTGTGTCCTTGGCTGAGGTGCGTATGCTGGTTATGCACACACCGTTGCCAGGAAGTCAGCAGAGGCTGACAGTGTGGTTACCCTCTGAGATTCTGGGGGTGGTGACGGGTGGATGGGGTGGGGTGCTGGAGAGACTTTTACTTTTCATTTCTCTCTCTCTCTCTCTTTTTTTAAACAATTACTTGCCTTATCCTTTTAAAAAAGGTGTCAAGAAGCAGAATTTGCCCCTCTAAAATATGCCTTTTGGGATATCGATTATTTTAAGCCAGTTATTTTTAAGAAATGAAAGACTCAAGAAGAACCTTTGACCTACCCACTAACTGCCTAAAAGAATGTAGGTAAAGGACCTGCTCCAGAAAGGAGATACCAACACAGATAACTGTAGTTTAATGTAAACTAAGTGTTAAACACAGCGAGGAACTTAGAAAGGTCTGTTTGATCAAAGTCCTCTTTGTATCCCACTGCTAAAGATGTCCCAGCAAACCTTTATGTACCAAATATTTGCTTTTCTATCTCTACGTAAACCGCCTCCCTGCCCTTTGAAATTCCAGACTACAACTGCCCCTTCTCCTTAGCTCAAGGTGACATATAATCCTTAACTGCTTGATCTGTCCAGTGGTCTCATATTCTCATGGACCCCCCACCCTTTACGTATATATGTAATAAATTTGGTCGTTTCCTCCTGTTAATCTGTATCATGTTAATTTAGTTATTAGTCCAGCCAGAAGAAGCTGAAAGGGTAGGAGGGAAAATTAGTTTTCCTACCCCACGGCATTAACTCATGGTATTTCAGAGAAGGCATTATTAGCCACATTTTCTTTGCATACTTTTCTGTATTAAGGAGGCCTAATAAATGTAGAACAAAAGGCTGGTCATGGATACACATATGTATATATAACAACGATGATCTCGGCGTGGTGGGATTGGGGGAGACAAAATGCATTTGTGTTCTCTGTGTTTCATTATTCTTCTATAACGGACACACATTGCTTTGTAATCAGAAAACGCCTGCATCTTGCTGGGGACAAGCAACCTAACCGTCGCTGAACAAATGCTCGATTTAATTTTTCTAAACAGATCTAGCCCACTGATCATGGCTTTGAAAAAGATCAAACTCTCTGGGCAGAGGGAGCCTGAGTGGTAGTTATTCCTCTCTGTCCATTTTAGCAAGGATTACACATCTCAGATATACCTGCGGGGCAGGTGGCAAAGGTGATAAAGCCTCCATTTTGAAAATCGAAGAGCCCTTTCACCTTCTCTGCCTTCAAAGGGCTAACTCACCGTGTGGAGAGGGGTCGAATCCTGGCTCTGCTGATTACTAGCCATGTGACCCTGGACAAGTTACTTGCTCTCTGAGCTTTGACTTTTTTTTTTTTTTTAATATGAAAAGTGGAATTAACATCTCCTTTCCTCTAGATTCGTAGTTGGGATTTAAGGTGATAACTACAAAAATATGGAGCATAGCACATTGTGGGGGGGTGCGGACTGAAAGGTTCAGGAGCGATTGCTAACAATTCCAGTTTACGACTGGTTCACAGGTGCGAGACAGAGCTTCTTCGCAGAGCTTACAGGGCCAGGGGAAGAATGACAATAGTTCATTCTTTTATTCATTTTTTTCATCAATTATTTATTGAGCATCTACTATATGCCAAATGTGCTTTCAGCCCCTGGGGAGACAGCCCTCATGGATCTCTAATCCAGAGTGGGAGAGACTCAGCTAAACTAGCCTTTTCGACACTGGCCCTCTGTCACCTACGAACAGATGGCGGTTTGAAAACAGATAGTCTGTCATTTCTAAGTCCATGGCAACCAAGAGGATTTTGAGACCGCAGATCCTGGATACATGACCACACCAAAGAAACATGAGTTGGCTCTCCGAAGCTCTTAAACCCATCCTTCTCGATGATATTTGTTCATGTGACATCTTTTCCCAAAGGAGACAGTCTTGTCTGCAGTGAAAATCTGTTGAGCAATGAGTGACGTGAGCTCATACAACACATCGGTGACTTTGCTTAATTTCGGAAATAACTGTGTATTTTTGCAGGAAGAGATAAAAGATGAAAGTATGAATCTTAGCATTAAACGCGATCCCCTCAAGATGGGGAGATTAAAGCAATTAAATCTTTTTTTAAACCTTATCTGTATTTCATGATATATTTTCTTAAAATGAACATATATTGCTTTTGTTATTTGGACCAATTTATTATTTGAAAACACAGGCCACAGATAGTTCTGTTGGTCCCAGATCTGTTCTGATCTGAACCGCATCAGTGGAAGAGGTGACAGTGGGGGTCTTGAGGCAAGAGAGCATGAGGGGCCATCCGTGAACAGCTGCCAGGCAAGGTCAAAGGGCAGAGAGGATCCAGGGGAACAGAAGCCAGGGGTCAAATTAAGCCATACAAAGAGGAAAGTCAGGCAGCTGCTATAGGGTGGGTCTAGGTTTCGTGTGACCTTTTAGTTTTCTGTTGCCACAGTGATGCTGCAATGAACTGTTTCAAACTCAGTGACACAGAACAAGTTCGTGAGTCGGCAGTTTAATCTGAATGGTCCTTCTGGTTTCTACTGGGCTCCCTTGGGTGCTGGGGGTTGGTTGGCTGTTGGCGAGTGCTGCTTGGCTCTGCTCCACCTGTCCCTCCATCCACCTGCCGGCTCGCCCGTGTGTTCTCACGGCAGAAGCAGACGTGCATGAGAGAGAGCAAGAGACCTCCACAGGCTGAGGTTTGAAATGGCGCAGCATCTCTTCTGCATTTTCTTGGGGAAAGTAGGTCACAGGTCATGTTCAGACTCAGGGCGAATAGACCCTGCCTCTTTAATGAGAACAACTATGGAGTTGAAAGGTATGGTGGGACTGTCTGCCACAGGCGTGAAGATTATACAACATCGAGGCTCCTTTTTAGGAAAAAGGACCCTAAATTATGAATACGAACTTTGATATAGGGCCTCGGAAGGAGCCGATCAGGTGAGGGGTGCTGATGTCTAAGCTCTGTCAGCTTCACGGAAAATCTGCCTCTTCCTTATTTTCACCAAGAAATGAGAAACTAGAAGCCCTGTGGGACCTGAGAAGGGGAGCACAGCAAAGTCATGCTGATGGCAGAGCCCAGAGCGAAACCGCTCCAGCCCCGAGGACTGGTCTCAGGGAAGTCTATCTAAACGCGGCTTCCCGATGCTCCTCCGTGGAGAGGCTCTGTTTCTTGGTTTTCTTCAGGTCCACTTGGTTTAGACTTTGGTCATTGGAATTCTCAAGTGAGCCTTGCAGCACACTTCTTGTGGACCCTCTCTGCCAGGGCGGGAGAGACCCAATACAGGAGCGCTTTTACCTGCGAACGGGTGGGGTCCTCACAGCGGCCTGTAGTTTACAAGTTCGTAGTGACCACGAGAAGCAGCTTGAGCAAGTCTCTGTTCTTTGTAACTAGGAGAACTCAGTGAACGCGTCAACACGCACACACACACACTACACGTGCACACACACACCATGCATGTACACACGCATACACATGTGTGCACACATGGACACGCACACGCAGGTGCTTTGGGGCAGATGATCCGTTTGATTCCTTCTTTCACAGGGGGGATGTGGAAGCCTAGGGAGGTAACTGACTCATGCAGGAGTCCATGACCGAGCCACGTCTAGGGCCTCCCCAGCGGCCCCCGAATAGCCCGACTCTCCTGCAGTCCCCAGAAGCACTTGTTCAGAGGAGCAGTCTTGCCATCACCCAGAGTCACTCGGGTGATTCTCTATTCTTGATTCAAAGTGGAGCCCTCCTTGGGTGGGAGGGCCCAGGGTCAGAGAGTCGAGTCCCAGGCGGAACTCTGAGCAGCTCCGAGACTGTCCAGTCCCTACTGCCCATGCCCAAGAAAGGAACGGTTTCCCCACCACCCTCCAAGCATCTGGCCCCTGTTTTTCAGGGCTGTCATTTTCCCTGGAAGCCAAACACCATCCCTGTTTGGCCACTGTCTCTTGGTGTGACCACACAGCGCCCCAGGCAGAGGGTGGACTTGCCAAGCAGTGGGGGCTCTGGCTACATCCTGGAAAGGACCCCGCTTATCAGCTGCTGCGTTTTTTTCTGTGCAAATAACCCTCTTGCACTTCTATTCATTTCTGATTAGGGTGTGAGGGGCTTAGGTCCCTCCCTGGGACTCACAGGGTCACAGGGTGTATGTGACATATAGCAAAAGTGGCTCCAGGAGTGAAATATGAGAAAGGTTCTACCTTTGCCTAATCTCTGTGCTCCACCTGCAGGGCTTGCTGGGATCCTGGTGGAAGGGGGAGGTGGGGGTGGGGGATGGGCACAAAGGCGGAGTAAGACAGGCAGAACTGGTGCTTCCTTTCTTCCTATTTTGACAGACAGCTCTTTACAAGGCGATGGGTGTAATAGCCGTGAGCAATGAGCTGGTTTCTTCAGGAAGGAGCCCTTGGTGTTATGACAGGTTTCAGGCTGGAAGTTCAGGCTGGTCTTGATACCCACGGGCTCTCACCTGGAGGGCTGGGGCATAGCAGTAAGAGTTTCTGGTGTGTTCTCAGGTCCCTCTTGCCCATTAGACTGGTAGTTCCTGTCTCTTTGAGCCCCTTTCTTTGCAGTCTGGGTTTTGATACCCACTTAGCCTCTTTATTCAGACCTCTGCTCTAGAATCTTCCCTTTGGCTTTCTGACGTTGGCCCCAAGTCCCTCTGTTGCAGGAAGGGACATCCGACAAAGGAATTTGGACGCTCAGACAACTTTGATAGAGGAAGGAGAATTTATCAGCCGGCGGAGCATGTGGGGCTTAACAGCACCGAAGCGCGAATTCTCCTTGCTTAGATTTCTTGCAGCTTATATACCTCTGCGGTGTCCACGCGAGGGGCGCGTGAGTCCTTAGTCTGAGGTTTCACGTGCACCTCGTGACTCAGGATGGAGAGGGGGAGTTTCGGGTGCCGGCCGCAAGGGGGAAGGAATTTCCAGATCACTGGTCTTATCTATTTATGAGTCATTTGTCTTACAGCTGTGACAAGAGTTTCTAGAAGGCCATTCAGAGATCTGTAGGATATGGTTAATCTATAAGCAGCTGAGTTGGTCATTTCTGTAAGCCCTTCTTGCCTTTGCATTTTTGAGATACCTCCTCTCCTCTCTTACCCCTTAATCCGATTGAACTCTTGACCTTCTGGGCTTCTGAGAATCTGGCTACACCTGTAATTCCAGCTTTAGGGCATTTTGTCGTCAGCCTTGGCTCTCCAAGAACTCTCTGATGGAGACAGGTCCCCGTGTCTATCTTCTTACCAGTGGGGAGGATTGAGTAAGAGCCTGCCTGACCCAGTGGGTCTGTGTCTGCAATTTCCAGAAGACCAAGAAGCCCGAGGTTCTCTTTTCAGAGTAACTGCGGTGGCTCCGGATGGGGAAGTATTTCTCACAAGCTTCCCCACTGATCACTAGGACTTCTTGTTAACAGCCTTGACATTTCACCTCCTTCCTCTTTTAGTTTGATCCACCAGTGGGAAGTGCCCGAAGGAGGAAGTGTGTGAGAGTGAGAATAAGTGAAAGCAGCAGGCTTGGAAGATGATGGCATCGAGTCTGTAGCTGGCTCTCGCTGACGGGCTCGATGCACGGGGAACGTGAGAGGAGAGAGATGTACCTGCTGCTGCTCTTCCCCCTCCTCTTCCGGGTTTCAGGTGAGTGGGGCCTGGGTCTGTACTCCTGGGGAAAGCACACGGCATAATTCCTGACCACCCAGGGGCTGATAATTCAAAATAGACGGATGATGCCCCGCTCCTTCCCCCGCCACGGTCAAAGCAGAGGAGCCCTGGGCACTCAGGTGAACACTTGCTCCCGGACCTTTGTGAATGCGTTATGACCAAGGGAAACCTCTGGGGCAGAAGCGAGGGTGGAGGGGGCTTCGAAGGAAGGAAAGCAGGAGGTTTGCCAGACAGGGAGGGAATGGTGAGTCTAGGCATTTGAGGTAGAAAGAAGTAGCAGAAGTTGCCGAGGGACAGGAAAAATCAAGAGGAGGTAGCTTAGTAGGACGGAGAGGAAACGAGGGGCCACTATGGGCAGCGAGAAGGGGCTGAAGTAAAGTTTAAGTTGATGGATTCCATGATGATTAAAAACTAAGGGGATTTTTTTTGACTTAAAATGTTGGAAGGGCTCAGGACTCAGTCTTTAGGCTTCTTCTTTATCTAGAGTCACCCCCTTGTTGATCTAACCTTCTCTTGTGGCCTTAAATGCCATCTCTATACAGATGATTCCCAATTGTGTATCCCTAGCCTGGACATCCCCCCTGGACTCTAGAATTTTTTCTCCAATTTGTCCATTGAACATAGATGTTGACATTTCAAATGTGACCTCACCTCATCTTCCCCCTCCAATTCCTTTCTTACCCATCTTTGTGTTTGGCACCTCCATCTTTCTAGGTGCTCGGGCAAAACCTGGGGTGGGGGGCATCCATCTCTTCTCTCATATCCAATAATGGTCCTTTGTACACGTAAGCCAGATTCTGTCTCTGCTCTGGTCAAAACCTTCCAGCGGCCTCCCATCCTACTCAGAGTAAAAATCCACAGTCCTTACAGAGGCTGCAAGGCACTCACCCTCTGGGTTCCTCCAACGCATCATCTCTCTGCTCTCTTCTCTACTCTGCTCCCCCTGGCTTGACCAATGTCAGCCCCATTGGCCTTTTAGGTGTTCTTTGACCATGCCAGGCACACTCCTGCCTCAGGACCTTTGCACTTGCTGTTCTCGCTACCCATAATGCTTTTCCCCAGATAGCCACAGGCTCCAGTCCCTTAAATGTTTCACGTCTTTGCTTCTCACTGAGGCCTTCATCCATGACCCTAATTAAAGTAGCAATTCCCTCGCATTATTTTTCTCCACTGTCTGTCCCCTCCCTTCCCCCACTTTGATAGGGTGCAGGGATTCTTGCACCCACAACCATACCAGGTAAAGATTGGACAAATAGTATTTGTCGAATGAGTGAATGTGTCTAATGAAGAGGAAACAATGTGACTGCTGTAATCGCCCCGGTCCCCAGACCAAATCTTTCTCTTTCTAATTTCATAGAACTGAACAATTGAGACTGTTAACATTTGTTGGAGAGGAATGTAAAATGGTGCAGTCGCTTTGGGAATCAATTTGACAATCTTGAAAATGTTAAATACGTGGTTACCACGAGACCCAGCAATTCAACTCCTAGGTAAAAACCCACGAGAATTGAAAACATACGTCCATGTAAAAACTTGGACGCAAATATTTGTGGCGACATTATTCATCATAGCCAAAAAATGGAAACAACTCACATATGTATCATTTGACGGATGGATAAATAAATGTGATATATCGATACAGCGGAATATTATTCAGTCATAAAAAAAATGAAGTACTGACTCATGTTACGACGTGGATGAACCTCGGAGACGTGAAGCTAAGTGTAAGAATCCAGGCACACAAGGCCGTACGCTGCATGATTTCATTTATATGAAATGTTCAGAATGTGTCAATTCATAGAGACAGATAGTAGATCAGTAGTTGCCAGGGGCCGGGGGAGGGAGTAAGGGAGAGTGACTGCTAATGGGTAAGGGTTTTTTGGGCGGATGACAAATTTGGAAGGAGGTAATAGTGATGTTTTCACAGCTTTGTAAATGTCCTGAAAACCCCTGAGTACCCTTTGAAAGGGTTGTTTGTGTGCTATGTGGATTGGATCTGAGTGAGAAAATGATTGAAGAGCAGACAGGAGAATTGGGAGCAGTAGTGGTCTCCTGATAGAAGGTTTCGGGTCACCTTTGGCGTGTGTGTGGATCTGAGGCCCTGGAAGAGGGTGTCCACGGCAACCAGACAGCCCTCGATGGTTTGCGACTCTTATATGACTCTTAATTTGATCATTCATTCCATCGGCCATAGAAATGGAAACAGAGTGACACGTGCTGGAAAGCAGAGCTGGTGCCCTTGACAGTGAGACTCGGGCGGGGCGAGTGGGATGTTTAGATGGGCTGGAAGAAGCCCTCTGAGGAGGAGATGTCTGAACTGAGACCCAGAAGACGAGAAAGAGCAGGTCCTTATGATCGGGGACAGCTTTCCGGGCACAGGGAACAGCGAGTGCAAGGCTCTGATGTAGAAATGAGCTTGGTCTTGGCACGTCTGAAGAACAGAAAGGCCACGTGGCTTTGTTACGTGCTTCAGAATAGCCTGGAGGGGCCGGTTGGGAAGATATTATTATTATCTCTTTGGGGCAAGGGTTTTAGGGGAGGAAAATGACGTGTCCAGGACCACAAGGCTGGGAAAGGGAGACCTGGAGGTGGTTTGCGGACACACACGGCCCCGTGTTTTCCGGTGTAGATGTGGAGAAAGCCAACTTCGAGTGAGATGCGGGGAACGCACAGAAAGGACGGTGTTTCTTCTGATACGGGGGGACAGGGGAATTTGGTGGTGAGCGAGTGTGAGAGTGGTGCTGTGTGAGTGTGTGTGTGTGTGTGTGTGTGTAGAATTTGGTGGTGAGCGGGTGTGAGAGTGGTGCTGGTGTGTGTGTGTGTGTGTGTGCGCGCGCGCGTGCGGTTTGGGTGTGATGGAGGCAGAGCGGGAAGATCTGTCTGAAGCGGATGGGTTAATGAGGAACCTGGTCGCCATGAGAACCTCTGTGTCACCTCTCACCAGCCTCGTCCCCAGAACGTCCAATCACATGTAAGAAATTTACCCGCCACTACTTTCCTTTTTTTAAAGAGCTCATTGTTTTAAAAGTGCACATGAAAAAAAATATCAACTGGAAAGTTCCCACTGGGCTTTATAGCGTTGGTCTTCTGTGAAAAGGAAGAGATTTTTAATCACCCGACTTTTTTTTCGGGGAAAAACGAGTGGCTTTGTCCAACTTAACTGCTCTGTAAGTGGTGGCAGAGCTGGACAAGACCCCAGATGCGTGGACCCAGAGCGGAGCCTAGCTGATGTCCTGTGTTGGGCTGGAGACGGGATCCATCACCTCCCCTGGGGCTCAGCTTTCCACTGAGCTCGGATTGTTTCTAGTCCCTCCTTTGGGCTGTGAGTAACCGTGCCTGGTGAGGGTGCTGCTGCTTGGAGCTCAGGGCTGTGTCAAGAGGTGCTCTGCCAGGTCGATGGGGAGCGGGCGCTTGGACGGAGAGGTCCAAGCCGTGGGTAGAACAGATGGTTCAAGAGTCAGGCCCCGAACTAAACGCTCAGGGAAGACGAATTAGCAGCACAGCTAAGGATGGAATGGCCATCTGTCTGAGTTTCTTAATGCTGCTGGGACAAATTACCCCGATCTTAGCGGCTTAAAGCAGCACAAATCTATAGCGTTATAATCTATAGGTCAGAAATCTAAAAATGGGTCAACAAGGGCTGTGTTCCCCTGGTGGCTTTAAGGGGGAGAATCTGGTTCCTTGACTTTTCCAGCTTCGAGGAGCTGCCTGTATTCCTCCGTGTGGCCTCATTCGCTCTCATCTCTTCCTCTGTGTCACATACTCGGACTGACCCTCTGGGTTCCCTCTGATAGGGACCCTGTGATTACCTTGGGCCCACCTGGACCGTCTAGGATAATCTCTCTATCTCAAGATTCTTAATTTAATCACATCTGCAGAGTCCCTTTTTGCCAGGTTAGGGGATATAGTCACAGAATAAAGCCTTATTCTGCCTATCACACCATTGAATAGCCCTGTCCAGGAGTTCGTATTTTTCCCTATGATTTTTAAAGTAATAAATGCTCATTGTTGATTCTTAGAAAAGTACAGACAAAAATAAAGAATGAGGACAAGTAATAAAACCTTCTGTTCATAATCTTAATGCCCAAGGCAACTAGTTGTTAACATTTTGGCTTTTCTTCATCTTCTTTTCTATGCATATTTTTAAAGTTAGTTGAGATTAGACTGTAAATGATATTTAAAAAAAAAAAAACACTTGCACTTCGTATGAGAATTGCCCACATAATTGAAAACATTTCTAAGTATAATTAACAGTGTCTGCGCTGTATTTCATTATATGCTTAATTATTTCCCTAATCGATGGATGTTAACCTCATTCCCTTTATTTTTGCTAGTATAAATGATTATGTAGTGAATACTCGCACACACATTTTTGTTTGCCCCTCAGATTATTCCTGAGGACCAAATCCTAGAAATTTAATTGCTGGAGCAAAGGGCATAGCTATTTTTGGTACATACGAATGCCGTGTTGCTTTCTGTAATGGTCGAACTGATTACATCCCTACCAACAGCCTCTCACAGTGCCTATATCACCTCAGCCACGTCAGCAATATGTTTGTCATAAAAACTCGGAAATAAAACAAGCGAAAATGATATCGCTTAAAAGTTTTTTCATTTGCTGTATTATTTAAATTGAACATTTCGAATTTTCTCATGTACCCGAATTTCCTCTTTTGCAATTTGCCTTTTTCTATCCTTTATCGATTTTCCAAATGAATATCTTAATATCTTTCTTACATACACTCTTTGTAAAGAGAAAAGATATGAATCCATTATTACATTATTCATTCTAAATATTTCTCCCAGTCTGTTCTTTGCCTTTTTAGTCTTTTTTTATTGGTATGTCCAAGTGTTACATTTGTATATAGTCAAATTTATTAACTCTTTCTTGTGTGATGTCATCCATTAGAAAGTTCTCTATATCATTCAGATATTTTATAAAGATTCACTTCTATTTTCTTCTAGTTTAAAAACAG